ATATAAACCTGATACATACAATAACTTTCTTATTTTTCTTGTCATATGCATGGTAAAACGTAACATATAATCTTGTCCATAATTTAAAATGATCAAATGTTAGAAATTTTTTAAAAAAATACAATGATATTTTTCATAATTACGACGATGCAATTGAAAGTACTTTATAAAAGTTTCGTGGGGTAATTATCGATGATTTTACAATTTATAATAGTGCATTTATGTATATACACACTATTGCCAATGACCTTGTGATCTATTGACACGAAGTGACTTTTCCGAATGAGAGGTCATTAGTTTGATCTCTAGTAGTGGGGCGATACTACATTGTAACATAGTCGGTAGTATTCAAAAAATATACACTATTAGTTATCTCATATTCACTATTTTTTTTTTAATTCAATATTGTAATTACAAAAGTACCAACATTTTTTATTTTTCTTTAATTACTTTTTATATACTCCATTAGTATAGATGTTGCGTTAAGGCAGAAAAAGTATTATAGCATCATGGTTGACTAGTCGAGGATAATAACGTGGGCAGGCAAGGGTTTTTGTAGAAAAGTTAATGAAACCAGACAAAACTGTGGTTTTCCGAATTGGCACTGAATGCTAAATCGTTTGGTTTTTTCCTATTTGTTTGCCGTGTTAATTACTGACTCATAATATTACAATAAATAAATAAATAAATAAATGTTTTAAATCATTCAATCATACTCTTGTAGTTATTTTAATTCTTATCTATAAGTTGTATACCAAAAAAATTATGATTTAGACATGAAGTAACAAAATTTCGAATCTCTATTGCGATATTCTGTCTAATAATGTATATTGAATATACAAATAATATAATTTAAATATATTAAAAATGTATATTGCAATTATGGTCTACTCAATAATTTGTCTTAATATACAGTCTCACTCGGCCCATCACATCTCCATCTAAAGACAAGAATATGGGCCATGGTCCAATTCATTCTTTTGGGCCCATACTCGCGTCACCTGAGCCCATATAAACGACCGCCGTGCCGCGTCGTCGTAGCGGCGGCGCCTCGCCGCCTCACATCCTCGGAAAAGCGCACAAGTAGAGTCTCCTCAAGAAGACCTCTCTACCGTCTACCCAAAGCCTATCAGTTAAAAAATTCCGAAAATCTTTATCTCATGAATGTTAAAAAAACACAAATATCTTAATCAAAATCGACTAATATACAGTTAATCTAAGACCAGATCTAAGGTTCCCAGAAACCCCAACATTTATTTAACGTCGGCGAAAAAAGAAGAGTTTCCGAAGCTTACCCGGCCAAACCAGCTGAGCTGTGAGCTTGCGATCTCCCATATTCACCACTATATTTGACTCGCTGTCCCCTTTGTTTATGTCATTCCAGTTGTCTCCTAAATCCTAAATATTTGAAAGCCTTTATATTCAATTCCAATTTGCAACAAAGGACAATTCTTAGTCCGAGGAGTTCGCCGTACTTCTTGCAAAAGAACCTGCGTAGATATTGTATGAACATAAAATATTAAGAAATGGGAATGAGGTTTATACAGTCTGTCAATTCCATACTAAATAACATAAATTGATTACTAATTTGCAACCGCGCGTGTTGTGAAGACTCATTCATCACTCGAGATGTTCACAATTTACCCAAGATATTGAGTATGATTGAAAATCATACTCAAATAAAGACTTATTGTTGGATAAAGGTCGATACATGCTCAAGTTTAATAATTAGTAGTTAGTGATATTGTTGAGCTGAGGTCGACTAAATTCAGCACCATGTCTTTTGAAAATGTGACTACATATAAAAAAATAAAATTGTGCACCACTAGCTTATTCTAGTGGAGGATAGCTTGGTAGTTACTTAGCCTAAAAAGTCATGCTTGCCTTATGTATTGTGATTTTTTTGGGGGGTTTTCTATTTCCTTTAGTCCAACCTCTTAGCTCGAGAGTTAGTCTTTAATTTAGTTTTCTAATCCACTAAGAGCATCTGTATCAGTGAGAAATTTTACACAATTTTGTTAGGTGACATGTTGGAGAGATAAAAATAGAAGAGAAAAACAAAGCGAAAAAAAAATGACAATTAAAAAATAATAATAATAAAAGGAATGGACCGTTTCTTTTTAGAGTGGCAGTCAGCTGAAGCGCCCCAGACGGCGCATGGAAAAACATGCCCGTTGGGTTTGGCAGTGCGCGCCTGTCATCATTTAAAAAAAAAATACTTTCTAACAAATATTTTGTTCTTGCATGAGTTAAATTTTTCAAAAAACCTCATACCATATCAGTTGTTTTTCATACCAATTCAGTTTTGTCTCCGTAAAAAACCCAACAAAAACTACTACTATGAATGCTCTAAGTACATTTGAGGAATTCTTAAAATCATATTGTAGTTGACATAATGATGTAAAACCTAGTTTCTTATTTTTACGTTATGAGAACACTAAGATATTTGACAATTCAATTTGTTCATTCTTAATTTTTGTGTACAATTGTACTGAGATTCTAAAAGTTCAAACCTTCTTTATAAGTATACAATATTTTTACAAGAGGAAATATAAAAAGTAATTGATAGATTAAGATATTTAATTGAGTTAATTCCATTTTTGGTATTAGATTAGATTTATAAGTATCAATTCACTTTTAGTCATATTTTTCAAAGCATCCCTCTTTGTTCTTAATATTATTGTGGCATGTTCATTTTTTTTCATTTATCAACAAAAACAGTTTAAATTTTATAAAATACAGGGGCATTAGGTCTTTAATTGTGAATTTTTTCAAAAGAAAATAAAAATAAAAATATAATGAGTCAACCTACTTTGTACAAAAAAATCAAAATGTCATTAAAAAAAAAAAAGATTCCCACCTATAAATATAGGACCAAAAATAGAATTAACTTTTAAAGATTCGATTCGGTGACCTTCCCTCAAGAAAAGCTACAAAAATGCCAACTGAGCACAAATTGCTTGGCATTTAATTTTAACTTAATTTCAACTTTCATAAAATAATTAAACTCAAGGCAGATCGAGGATCATTGCAATGAAACATAGTCAAAAAATGCAGGATTGAATGGTTTGACAAAAGTTTCCTCCCTTCAAGACCAGATAGTGACGATTTCTTTTAATTTGACTTGTTCCTTAATGAATCTTCTCTTCTTTCCATAATCTACTTAAAATAGTAAACTTACACCTTCTTTGTTCCACACCTAATAGTATACTCAACATATAATATGTAACTTCAAGTTTTTCTTTTCATAACTTTGAGCATTCATGAGATGACAATCTTCAAATTCTTCTTTCCAACTTTTCAAATATTGACTCGAGATTTCAAAGTACAAGCATCTTATCTTAAAATAATTTTTTAATTATCAAAAAAATCTCAACTCTAATATCAAGCTTAAGAATATGTGCACTCAGTAAACTCTTGCTCATACGAGTTCGACTAAGCTGGTATTAACAAGAAGTGAACTTACAACTATACATATACGAGAATCGTGTTTCATTCACTCAATCATCCTTTTTGAAGCATTTTAAAAACTACCTTGCTTAGGCTAAATAGTTACATAGTACAAATCAAAATGAATATTTGACTATAATTACTCTATTGTAAAAATTTGGTATATGAGTTATATTATATTTGTGTACATAATATTGTGTGTGGTTAGTATTTAGTTTGACTTAGCTATAGTATAGGAGTAGATTAAGTTAGCTTAATCTCCTTAGCTATGTATTGTTGGTTCTATTCTTTCAGATAATTCAATTACGTTAATTCTCTCACTCATCTGGTATCACATATTTTCATAAATACAATAATGTTTTATTACGTCATATGAAATATTAGGCTCTAGTCAAGCATTCTTCACCCTAAAGGTTGAATCCCTAATTCCAAAGACTTCTTCACACCTTGGCTCGAGAGGGCTCTAGTCAAGCTTAGTAGGTTCTAATATGGAGTAAATATTAATCAGTTCAATTGGGTAACACGAAATTTAGAGGCTCAAATTTGCTCTATATATATATATATATATATATATATATATATATATATATATATATGTATGTATCATATATTATTAAATAATACTTATTCGACACACATAAAGGTTTTGTTTCGTAAAATATTAGTCTATCAGTCAATTTTGACTTATTTGACAATTATTAATTGTTTGATTTTTTAAAAAAATCAACTCCAAAATGTTAAAATTCAAAAAGCTGTTCAAAGCAACTTTTTTAATTAGCTTTTTGAGAAAAGAAATTATACCGAACAGCTATTAGCTAACCGCTAATTTACCAAACATCTTTCTACAATCAGCTAATATTATAAACTAATTATACCATTTAATTAATCTAATCAGCTAACAGTTATCCGCTAACCGTCATTTACCAAAAAATTCGTCAATGTTGCATAACGGATGACACATTAACTTGTACAGTTGTACCTATTAATCAATTTTGACTTATTTGACAACTATTAATTGTTTGATTTTGTTAAAAATTAACTCAAAAATGCTAAAATTTAAAAAGCTGCTCAAAACAACTTTTACAATTAACTTTTTGAGAAAAGAAATTATACCAAACAACTGTTAGCTAATAACTAATTTACGAAACATCTTTCTACAATCAGTTAATATTATAAACTAATTATACCATTTAATTAATTCAATCAGCTAACAGTTATCCGCTAATCGTCATTTATCAAAAAAGTCGTGAATGTTGCATAACTGATGACACATTAACTTGTACAGTTGTACCTATTACCTTTTGATTATGTCTGAATCATATGAGAGAGGTATGTATGTGTGTCATCATATATGTGATAATATTTTCTATTTCAATAACATATTTATAATTTGTCTTCAACAATCAGGAAAAGCGAAAGGGGACCTTTGGAATTTCAGAACTTAGCCGCCGCAAATAAATAATGTGGATAGCGAAAGATTAGGCGCGTAGGCGTACTTAGTCTAAGAAGATGAACATATAAATACGAATTTGACTTTAGGTCTCGTTAATTAGAAATGCGACATTTGGCCTGCGATTGCGACCACTCCACTACCCCAATCATGTTCTCGCCGTCATCCTAGTCGTTGCGGATTCATCCTCCATTTTTTCCGGTGGACTGAACCGCCGTGCAAAAGAATCGTATATTGATGATTGGTCGGTCATTCATAACGTAACCACAACAAATTAAAACGAACATGCATGCAATAAATACAAGAAAATCTCCGGCGACGCCGTGGTGGCAAAGATCGTCGTCCTGGCCGGTCAATTCCGGCAACGCGGGTTTAGACGGTGGCGTGATTGTCGAGAGTGGAAGAAAAGGCGGCGACAAGTTCGCCTCCTTCGGAATCTCTTTTTTGTTCCGCCGGCGGCGGCTGAGCAGCCGTGTCAGGAAGCTCCGCCACGTTACCGACCACGACTCCGACGAGTTTGTTCCGAGTAAATATAGTTCGTTGGATCATTCACTAGCTAGGTCGTCCTCCGCCGAAACACACAGTTCATCGGATCTCTCTCTAGGCAGGTCGTCCTCCTCCGGATCCCAGCCGTCACCTCTGCCGCTCCCCCCGCCGGAAGTGCAGGCTCTCCTCCGGCGAGACGCCAATTCGTCCCCGTATTTCGGTAAAGCCCATCTCCCTTCGCCGACGAAGTCGCATCCTCGCCGAGACGGAGATAAAAGCAGGGAAACACTCGATTCTCATTCTGAATCCCCCGGCGACGAAGCTCATTTACTACAGAGGTACAAATTTAAAGAAGAAAATCTTAATTTCTTCAATTGATTCTCTTTCTTGCTCTTAGTAACGAAACTTTCCTGTTTTTTATGTGCAGATTTTTTAACCAGGCTGCTGGAAGAACAAGAGAGAATCAAGTAAGTCACTCCAGGAAGTCGCCGGCGCGGGAGCCTGAAAAACTCTCCGGCCCGAGTTTAGATGCAAGCTTCTGTTACTGGTTATCGCCGGAGAAGAAGACCGCATCCAGCATTGACAATTCTCCGACTCAAAGTCCTAATCGGAGCTCAAGAAACGCAACTGGCTCTGCATCTCCTTTAACAAGGCGTGGAAACAATGCTCAGGCCAACAACGTTCACCGCCTGCCACTTCCTCCCGGCGCCGCCTCCCCCTGCCGGAAACAAGACCAGATGCCCTTAAAAGGGCAGTGGCAAAAGGGAAAGCTCATTGGGCGTGGGACATTTGGCAGCGTTTACATAGCCTCCAACAGGTACAAAATTGTCTAAATGAAACCCGCCTTATAACCTTAATCCGATCATAGAGACACCCATCGCGTCGCCCCCTTTCTCGGCCCCTCGGTCGAGTTTGGGGAGCGGATGATGGCCGCCCGTGCCCCCAACTTGGGGTGCGGCTGGCTCAAATGTGAGTCCATGGCGGCCATCATCCACTCCCCAAACTCGACTGAGCGGCCGAGAAAGGGGGTGACGCCCAGGCAGACGTGCTCTCGACCTAACGGCTTCGGGCACAAACGGGCTCTCACCCTCTCTGGCGCCCCTTTTTAGGGGACTTGGGCTCGGTCTGCCCTTGAGGACGCTTTTCCAGACTACAATTCAAACTGCAGGACTTACCAAGTCCAGACATAGTAAGGATTGACAGAACTGAGAGCTCTTTCGAGATTCTATAGGTGGTGGTGCATGACCGTTCTTAGTTAGTGGAGTTCAAACAAGAAAGCTGTATGACCAACTTGGCTGGGTTGCCGTGCTATAATATACCTTTTGATCTCCATACATATGTCACTGAATCATTGATTTGTTCTTGTTAAAAGGAAAACTGGAGCATTATGTGCAATGAAAGAAGTTGAAATATTCCCGGATGATCCAAAATCTGCAGAATGTATAAGGCAATTAGAGCAGGTTAGTTGTATTCAATTCCTTAATGCAGGAAATTGAAGTTTTAGTATATGTCTTAACGGACTTAGCTAATTATAGTGTTTATGCAGGAAATTAAAGTTCTTAGCAACCTTAAACACCCAAACATTGTGCAGTATTATGGCAGTGAAATAGTAAGTGATAGATCCTGCAGGCAGAATCATATATTAGTTGGAATATAATGCATGAATGCTGTCCTTAATGAAGTGTTTTCAATTCCCTTCAGGTTGGTGACAGGTTTTTCATATATCTTGAATATGTTCATCCTGGTTCTATCAACAAGTTCATTCGTGATCATTGTGGAGCAATTACAGAATCTGTTGTTCGTAGCTTCACCCGTCATATCCTTTGTGGTTTGGCTTACTTGCATAGCAAAAAAACCATCCACAGGTAAAAATCAGAGGACAGAACTCTAGTAAGAGCATTGTTTTCGGGCCATCGAGTTTGAATAGTGATAAAATTTCGCAGAGATATCAAGGGGGCTAATCTGCTTGTTGATGCGTATGGTGTAGTCAAGCTTGCTGATTTCGGGATGGCTAAACATGTAAGTATGGAAGAAACGATATCCGGTGTGAAAAAAAAATATTGTCACTAAAATCAACTTGTTTTCATATACCCTTTGTTCTTGTGGTTCAGCTTTCTGGGCAAGCAGGGCCGCTTTCTTTGAAGGGAAGTCCATACTGGATGGCCCCAGAGGTGCATATCTATCTTTTTCTCAGTTTACGTTAGACTAATCTTATGCCCCCCAGAACCAGAACCTGCCTAGGGCCGGGTCACAGTCCCATAATAAGCATATTAACATCTGATATGTTGTTACCTGCAGCTTTTGCAGTCAGCTGCAGCTAGGGATCCTAATGCTGATCATGCTTTAGGTGTTGACATATGGAGTTTGGGTTGCACTATAATCGAAATGATGAATGGGAAACCGCCTTGGAGCGAGAACGAAGGGGTAAGCGTTGTCTTTTTCACTGGTGGTATTAGAACCATAACAAGAACAAGAAACAATAATAATGACAGAAAAAAGTAAAGAAGACAAGATTTACGTGGTTCGGCAATGTATCTACGTTCACGGGAGTGCAACTATACTTTTAATTCATAGTAATGGTGATAGTGATGACACAACACTTTAAGGATACAACCAATGAGACAAACTCATATTCCTAATCCTTATATGAGACAAACTCAACATGTATATACTACAGGCTGCAGCCATGTTCAAGGCTCTGAAGGAATCTCCACCAATACCAGATTCACTCTCACCTGAAGGGAAAGATTTCTTGCGGTGCTGTTTCTGTAGAAACCCGGCAGACAGGCCGACGGCTAGCATGTTGTTAGAGCACCAGTTCATAAAGAACTCTCATCAGCTACATTTTCCTCACTGTGTCCGCTCACCAAACGGCCTCAAACTAACTGTAAGTCATGCTCACTTTCACCAAAAAGGCAAAAAACTCTATCTCTCCCCCCATCTCATTTTTAAGTGTTGTGATATGATGAACAGGATAATCTGCAGATTAAGAAAGAGCATTATCGGTATCAGAAACACGAGAAAGGGAAACTGTTCCCTAACACATTGCCCTCAAAGGAACTTCGAGCATGACAGAATGAATCCAAAGTGTTGTCATTTCCTTGCCCACAAAACGTGAAATCTCGATCTTAATTAGTGTTTTTTGACTGTAAAGGTTTACATACATGACCAGAATCTTGAGTGGAAGACTTCCAGTTCTCCAGTTAGGATCAGGTATAAGCTAGCTGTGCAAAAGCTACAGCTCATTTTTTCGCCATGGATCGTTTTTATTTGTCCAGACTAAACACAAACTGGGTAGAATTTACAATTTACAATAAAAGTGTAAATGGATAACAATTTTTACATGGGAACCAAATAGGTTAAAACCATGGATTTTTTTTTATTTTTTATTTTTCTGCCCAAAAGAGTCAAATCTCGGTTTGGGCAGTGGGTAATTGTAAGAAATTTGTGAGTGAGTTATGGTAGGAATACATGTGATGGAATTTTATTATTCTGTAATTCATATAAATTAAACAATTATATTTATTAACATCTTGATTGGTCTTCTTCCTTCTCTCAATAATTAATCAAACACTTATGATTGAGAATAAATGATTTAATTTAGGAATAAGAATCAAATAAGCCACTGAACTGCACACCAAACTACAATTAGATCATCGAACTCAAAAAAGATGTAATTAAGTCTCTGAACTACACAAATTTATGCAATTATGTCTAAAATGACTTGTTTACATGCTATGTAGGTTGGAAATTTTAAAAATAATTAAAAAAAAAAAAAAAAAAAAAACAGAATTTGTCTCCGGCCATCCTTCGTCTCCATGGCAGGGGACGAAGAACTTCGTCTCCAGCCATGGAGACGATCTTCGTCTCCTGCCATGAAGACGAAGAAACCTTCGACGAAGGTCCTCGTCTCCAGGCCATGGAGACGAAGATCGTCTCCATGGCTGTAGACGAAGGTCTTCGTCCCCTGCCATGGAGACGAAGGACGACTGGAGACAATTTCGTCTCTGACCGTTCTGATTTTTTTTTTTTAAATTTTAATTAATTTTTTGTTTAAAATTATTTTAAAAATAATTTTTAAAATCCGCAACCTCCACATCAGCAGAGTATTGGGTAAACAGGTCATTTTAGACCTAATTGCATGAATTTGTGTAGTTCAGGGACCCAATTATTGTTTTTTTGAGTTTGATGACCTAATTGCAACTTGGTGTACAATTCAGTGGCTTATTTGACCCTTATTCCTTTAATTTATAGCCCTTTACAAACTTTTTAACAATTTTGTTTATATATATGGTGCGTTTACATATTTTTACATATAGTGTTGTAAAATTTTTTAGGATAATATTCGTTTGTAGCATTATAATGTTCATTGGAGTGTACATTCTTGATGGTATTTCAGTTTGCTTGTTGATTATTAATTGAATTAACACGCTAAGCTCATTGTTAGAGAACTAACACTCGTTATATGAGATTCCTTTGTCACTTATTGATTCAAATTTTTAGAAATTTCAATTTAAAAATCAATTATGTTCTTAGTAATTTATGCCCATGCATACAAGTATTTCATTGTTACTGTGTTTTTATATTTGATTGTTGGTTTGTAATATTTGATGGATAAAAACAATAATACTAAAAAAATAATCTAAAAAATCTAGATTAATACAAATTTTACTTCGTTAGTTTTTATAAAACAGCATAGTTACACTTACATCACGTTTGGTACACATAATGAATTTAGAAAGAATAGGAATGTTATTCCACAGGGGATGAAATAAGTAAGGAATAATAACTTAAACAAAAAATAATATGGCCTTTTTGCACATCTTTAATTTTAGATAATGCTTTGGACCTTCAATTTAGGTTTGAGGGACATTACTTTGACGGGTTTTGAGTTTTGACATATCTTTTTTTTTTTTTTTTTTTTTTAAATACTACTAGTATTTTCGCCCGTGCGATGCACAGAATGAATTTATTGTAATATATTAAGAATATTTAGATCAATATATAATTATTTAAATTAGAACATCAAATATATAAGTGCAATTGAAGGTGTGGTTTTTATCATTTATGTGTTTTTATGTTATTATCATTGATTTGATTTGAGCAAATAATTGCTCAAAATTAATAGCTAATGTGTAGATGTACGCATGCGGTGCTGTAACTTTGGAGATTTTATTTATCATTGTTTAGTATTTTTTTTTTTATATAAATTAGGCAAATGTGATCGTTCTCTAGCAACTCAGTTATAGGAATGAATTGTTATCTTAATTCATTTGTATGGAAGATATTTTTTTTTTTGTCTAGATATATAACAATTTTTTTATTTAAAAAAAAAAACATAATATCAACGATTGTATTTACACATTATTGAAACCTATTTGTAGACGATATTGATAGTAGCAACACAATCTTGTACATCATCGTCTAGAGCTAACACCTTCAGTCCATCAGGATGGTTGACTCTGGTGAAAATATATAATGATATAATATTAGTCCATTAGCGATCCTTTTATGTTTTAAGTCAATTAGTAATATCAGATTCATTTTCAGTCAATTATTCTTTTTTTATTTTTAGTCAATTAGAATATCATATGCAATGATATTTTTACTTAATTTTCGTTCCATTTTTAATTGATGATGTATAATATTATTATTGAAATATTTCTGTTCCATTTTTAATTTACTTTTAATATTGTTTAAAATATACATTTACTATTTATGATGTAGAATATTATTATTGAAATATTTCTGCCCAACTTTAGTTTCCGTTCCATTTTTAATTAAAATGCAATGATTTAACCATTTATTTTTTCATATTAGTCAAGTATGGATCATTTTTTATTTGCAGTCAACTAATAATATTAATTTCTTTTTATATTTTCAGTCAATTAGTACTATTATATTCATTTTCAGCCAATTATTTACATAATCTCACAAAAAAAAAAATCAGCCAATTATTCTTTTTTATTTTCAATCAATTAGTCAATTAGAATATCAGATGCAATGATATTTTAACCCAATTTTTGTTGAATTTTTAATTGATGATGTAGAATATTATTATTGAAATATTTCTGTTTCATTTTTAATTTCCGTTGCATTTCTTATTTACCTTTAATATTGTTTAAACTATTCATTTACTATTGATGATATATAATATTATTATTGAAATATTTTCTTTTCATTTTTAATTTATCTTTACTTGATGATGTAGAATATTATTATTGAAATACTCACATTTCATTTTTAAATTATGTTCCATTGTTTGAAATTGTGAAAGATTTATGACATAATTGTGATTTGATGTATTATACTGTGTAATATTATTATGAAAAATTAAAATGCAATGATCTGATCATTTTCTTTTCCATTTTGATCAATTATGTATCATTTTTTTTATTTGCAGTCAATTATTAATATTCATTTTTTTTCTAATTAACCTAATTTTTGTTCTTTTTTCCATTTTTAATTTTCAATCAATTATTAATATTCATTTCTTTTTTCAATTTACCTAATTTCCATTTCATTTTTAATTGAAGATGTAGAATATTATTGTGAAATATTTATGTTCATTTTTTTAATTTATTTTTTAATTTACCTTTACTATTTAGTATTTACTATTGTTTGGACGGGAAATAAAATAAATAAAATTTTGTTTTTAATTTTATATATATATATATATACTCACACGTACACATCAATATATATGTAAAAGAAGTTAAATATAACACAATAATTATTTCTAACCTCCACATACGACTTTTTTAATTCAGATGCAGATTTCCCAAATAACTCAATGCATTCACGATCCCATAACAGTAACGGTGTAAAAGAAGTTAAATATAATACAATAATTATTTCTAACTTTCACATAAGATTTTTTAAAATTCAGATGCAGATTTCCCAAATAACTCAGTGCATTCACGATCCCGTAACGGTAGTGGTGCATTCCCACTGGCATCAGTGACTCTTATGGTAACTTTATATTTAAAGGTACCATTGGCCCAATACTTATTGCAATTTCCAATAGTTCCAATAGCCACAATCTTGGCTAACTCCCAAAAGTTTCTGACAATATTAATGTGAGAAGAAATATTGATGATTTAAAATTACATTTGTGTTGACAATTCTAGTATGGAATAGCCTATTAAAATTACATTTGTGTTGAATTCGTAACATTATTTTAAGCAATCAAAAGATTTTAGGTCAAGATATTTGAAAATGAGATTTTGCAAATTATCTCTATATTTTTCATATAAATGATTTTTAAAATGTTTTCTTATTCTATTCATATAATTTGAATCTGTAACCTTATTTTAAGAAATTAATATTCTAATTCACATATTTGAACATGAGATTTTGTGAATTTTCTTAATATTTGCATTTATAAATAAATTATTCTAACCTTGTTTTAAGGAATCAATATTCTAATTCACGATATTTGCAGATGAGATTATGCAAATTTTGTACTAAAAGTATTACTTTGAATTTTTATAAATAATTTATAACAAACTTATTATGCAAAGTTTGTTATATTATAACAAATCCATTCCGTGCATCGCACGGGCGAAAATACTAGTATAATAAAATATTGTTTCAAAAAGAGTGTAGAAAAATGATATGAGACAATCTTTAAGATTGTCACTAGAGTGAACATTCTGTATAATAATATCGATGGGTTGCATCTTGAAACTATATATGCTCTGTCAAATATTCTTAAACATACTCATTTATCATTTGTGCAACACATGCTTTATTATCCTCATATAGAATAGTGGACGTAAAACAAAACATAACCAGTTTGGGATTTGGCATCCTAGGGATCAAACAAAATAGCTAGTACCCAATAAAATAGTCAATACCCAAGTAACCCATTAAAACCACATATTAGTTTCTCACATAAATGTCAAAATATTTGTACCTCAAAAATATCGAATGATATGTGTACCATTTCATTGCAAAAGGAGCATTAAATGTTGCTAGCAAATTCATCGTATATACAATAATTATGTGGAAAAAAAGTATTATTTCTTAAAATATAGTACATATAAATTAAAATATATGTATATATATTTGTTTACTAAGTATATATATTAAAATAAAATAGTATTGGAATATGTATAATTTTTGGATTACGCATCTACGCTGAGGTGGGGCAACCCACATTGACACTCCTATGCGTCTGAGGTGCCTCACAAAAATTTTGGACTACGCGTCTACGCTGAGGTGGGGCAACCCACATTGACACTCCTACGCGTCTACGCTGAGGTGGCTCACAAAATTTTTAGACTACGCGTCTACGCTGAGGTGGGGCAACCTACATTGACACTCCTAATTTTGACCGACTTTCTAGAATATATTGTATGTGAAATAGACATACATTATTTGCCTCATATTCTAGAAGTTTATGAAAAAAACCTAAAGAATGCATATGTTTTGTTAGTCACTCATTCACGCGTTCACACAATCACGCCAAGTAATTTATAAGATTTAATTCGTCTCCATCAATTCTCTTACAGAACCATATCACCATCACCGAAAAACTT